GTGTGAGCTCGTATGATGAGATGGGTCGATGAAGTAACAACAGGTAACACTTACGCATTTAATTTATTACAAGGAACTGTCCAACAGCATGAACAAACACGAGACACAACACGAGAATCAGGCAACATGGGCGAGTGTCAAAAAGTCCTGTACGGCGACTGTAATAAGTTGCCTTGTGATCATAATAGGAAGCAACAGCAGTCGCTTTTATCAATGCAACGGTTCGTAATGAGAACTAACAATACCTTCACTATATTGTTCACATTGATGATATCCTGCTGCCTCCTTTAAAGATAAAAAGAAAGACTTGTTTGCGGTGGCTTAATTCTGTCTCTGGTCCCACATGACATTAACTTACTCAATGTTCTGCGTTATATGTGTAAGAAAATGCAATGTCCTCACGGTCAAAGCGACCGTCAATTCATAATCAATGAACAGGCATTTTTGTTTCCTGTATCAATATTACTGAATGATTTGTAATCGCACTCGATTGTAACCTAAATGTATACTACCTCTTAAGTATGACGAATGGTTTGTTCTTTTGTTATATCACCCGTTTTATGCCTCAATCGCTGATGATGCTGCCAAATGTTACATTTTGTCAATGTATAGATATTGTAGTGATGTTTTGCAAAAGTCGGCTTTTGCGTGCCAGTACTTTTCTTACGTCTTCGCTTTGTTTTTTTTTTTGTCCTAATATAAAAATGTTATGTGGTCCTCAGTATTATGATGACAGTTTAGTATTTGGGGGCGAAATGTTAACAGTCCTACGGACAACACGAAACTGTTTTATTGAGAAGTTTCCTAAAGTAGCACCTTACAACAATTGGTTACCTCTTTTTATTTTCTGATAAACGTGTTTTAGCCTCAAAATTATGACTCGAATTCATTCTAAGTAAAATAATGACCACTAGCCCATCGCTACAAAAGCTTCAATAACAAGAATAATGTGAATTTGTCGATGTGCTAATTCGTCAAGAGATGTAGTAGTGTTTTCATCAACCAAGTATTTCATTAGAACACTTCTATGCCAGGCAGCAACACCATAACTCTGCAAAAAAAAAATACCTACTATTAAGCATCGTTGTAAGAGATGGAAAAACAATTCGCAGCTGAAATGAACACCTTGCTTGGTCTTTCGGCAACGTCTGCATCAAAATGAGTGGTTTCATGCACAAACAGCACCACAAAAAAGGGGGGGGGGGTGAGAAATGTGTGACTCACCAAGTGAACGCACTTCTCGCTTGTGAGCCGCAATCACATGACAGATGTGTACAGGTGAAAGCTTTTCTTAATAAAAAATATAATATAAAGTTCTATTCTTCCAAAGTGTTGGTCCAGATATTAGAGATGTACTTGCAGTATCTGCAGCAGCACCCATAATCTTTTTTTTTTTTTTTTTTTTTGCAGAGCCTTCGGTTTCACAGTGACAGCTGTTATGAGATCGCAACACGGGTCGCGTGTGGTACCGTAGTTGTCCGCCAGGGCCGCCACCTTCATCGGTGTTTCTAACCACTGTCACGCAGAATAAAAAAATCTTGCTAATACAAACACTAAGAATGCTGCCGGATTCGAACTCGGGTCCCCTGCCTGGCAGTCTAATAGTCTGCAATATAGCCATGCCGGTGCTCAAAACTCTGCTGCAAACTTGCCTTAGGTAGGGTTAACGTCGAGGTAAGTATGAGAAATACACCTTTTCAGAAGAGCGAAGGAACAACCAGGCGTCACATAATGCGAATTGTGTAACACGTGGGTCTTCCAATGTTCCAAACGATTGCAAAATCTTGTTCTTGATCACCTATTAACTGCGGTGCATACCCACTTGAGGCATATTTCTTCATTGTCGTCAGACATTGCACAAAAACATTGCACAAGATTTTTTGCAGGCGTGTAGTGGTTACATAGCCGATTTTTTCATTGATATGTGAGGTTTAACGTCCGAAAACCCTCTTATGATTATCAGAGATGGCGTAGTGGAGGGCTCCGGAAATTTTGACCACCAGGGGTTCTTTCAAGTGCACATGAATCTGAGCACATGAGCCTACAGCATTTCTGCCTCCATCGATAATGCAGCTGCCGCAGCTGGGATTCGATCCCGTGACCTGCGGATCAGCAGCCGAGTACCTTACCCACTAGACCATCGCGGCGAGGCTGAGATATTATGCTTATTCGAATAATGACGAAGAGTAGCATAATGAATGCCAGCCTACTACACAAAAAATTATTAATGTTACGTTAGAGTGGGTACTCTGCAAGTGTGTTTTAGCAGTCGCCCAAACAGTGTTTGGAAAAACACTCTGAAAGACCACTCTTTCCGCTTTAGCTGTGGCTTTACTGTGCGTTTCACGCAGACACGGTAATTTTTAATTCAGTATTATGGCTTATACTCTTTAATTTGGAATGTCATCATTCAAAACTGAACGTAGCCATAACTACTAGTTATTACAGCCGAAGATAACTTATACTAATCCGCATGATTCATATTTTCAAATAACCTTTTTTTGTTGTTTCAAAGCGGATGCGCTATGGCACCAACGTGTATGCATGCGATCATTGCGATAACGTATTCATTGGAATCTGGATAATATGATTTCAGTAATGGATTTTCACTCACGTACTCGAAGCTGGCAGTTGTGTGCTGCAATACACAAAATTAAATAGGACTTCAGTGGCCAATGAATATTATCCAATGGCGATACATAGCAACCGAGTATCTTGCCTACATACAAGTCTCGAGATGTTCAATGTTCACTTTAAGCACTTCGAGACTGAAGGTTTAAACTCAACAAGCAACAAGAAGTGCAGATCTATTGTTTATTTATCATGTAACAAGCACTAGCCTCACATCACGAAGGAAGCTTAGAGCTCCACTTCGCTCAATTTGACCCTTAAGCACCGTGAGGACACGTGTTAAAAAAAACATGCGGTGTCGAACGTGTCGCGCAACTTCCGGACAGTCCTTACTTCACATGGTACGTGTTACAAGCACTGGGTTCCGTCAACATCGTGCCTATAGACCTTCCACTGCATAACAGTTCAACGCATTTGCCTTTCATGCAATAAATTGTGGAACAACACATATTGTGATTCCCCGAATTCACCTGCAACTCTGATTATTGCAGTACACTGCAAAGTATTTTGGTCACACACATCACAACAACAAAGTTTAAGGCATTGCGTTTTTCCCTGGGACAACATTTCCTAAACACGTTTTGCACTTGTTCAGTCATTCATTCCATGGCTCACTCCCAATTAATTTTTTTTCATTCTAAACCTAATCTGACGAGCTGGTTTTTTCTACATTCGGAAAAGCCCATTGTATGAATAGCATGGTGAAAATATACAGTACACATGGATTGAAATAGCACAATTTAGGACTAAGTAACGCACATGGTTCTGTTACCACCTTGTTCAGTTCGGATCATATCAGTGTAACTTAAACTTAAATTCACAGATTAGAGCATTTGTATTTATAGGGACCTGATACTTCGAGATATTTACTTATCTCGAGCATTGGTGCATTTTCGTTTTTATACTAAAAAGTTCATGACCTGTTTAAATCCATCAGTACTTTCCACATTTACTCGTTCATAAATTACCATCACGACATCGAGATAAAACATATAGAAAATAACATTGTAAACTATTGACCTATGGCAATGCGTGATCTTGCGAAAGGCGCAAAACTTACTATTCAATTCATGAATCACACAAAAATTGTGTTCAATAATCTCATCACATGATCCTATGTAATACAGAATTACCCTGCTTCACAAGGTATAGACAACGCATTGTTGTCCAAGGCAGGAAATGAAAGCTGTCAGCCGTATGTACAGCCTAGCACAATAGGAGAGGGAACACTTAGTCTGTGCTCAAGTAACGATAACTCGAAATTTGAGGACAAAATTTGAGCATTGCTATAGACACATTAAAGCCTGAAAACTACGTTAAGCGAATATGGCCTACAAAGAGTCATTTAAGTGTGTCCGTTCATATTTCTGAAACCTGAACGATTCCATTAATAGGTGTTTCTCAGTCAGCAAATTGACCTCAACCCCGTTCATTTCCATTAGATATCAGGTACTGAATATAGGCGCTCACTCTATATCACAGAGCTGCGATAAAAAAAGGCACTTCTCATCGCATCTACGGGGAGCTGGCACCGTACACCGAGCACGCCAAAGGCTTTAAGTGCACTACGTTGGATTTAGAAGTATTTGTGGTATCAGACAAACAAAAACACATGACCTGGAGTGCTAGCACACGTGAATGGAGGGCGAATTCGGGGCGCTCGCTTTCGACACCCAAGTCGCTTGGAATGTCGCAGAATCTCGTGCATCAAATGAATTGATTGACTGATTAGCCGCCATTCTGCAACCAGTCAATAAGCCAGCCCTACAAGCGATATTGAAGCGATATCTCCTACCCACAATACAGCACCCATTTCATTCATTGTTATACTTAATGAGCAAATGTTCGTTAAAAACATATGGTTGATTCCTTCAATATAGGAATCACTAAACACGAAAGTGAAGCGCTTGCTTAAAGAATAATAATTAGCCCAATTTTTACTGTACATTGATGTAAAAGATTGCTTTGAAATGAAAGCACACTACTTAGACGCGGACAGAAAGACAAGCAGAGGGAAAGTAGTGCGCACTCATTTCAAAACAATCATGTATAACCAAGTCGCCCAATGAATCATATTGATATAAGAGAGCTGCACAAGAATTACAATTGGTGTTTGACAGCTATAGCACCGTTTACCATGAATCCACCCACGTTGACGCCTTTTAATTCCCTTCCGTGACAGAAATACGTCACTGAAATCATCGTGGACCCTCGCCCAAAGCACTCCCGTGTCTGAAAAAAACAGCAGGGCCACTTGACTACCACCGCAATCGACTTCAAATATGGCTGCAATCAGAACTCACAGCTGAGCAACAGTTTCAAAGGTAACGCACAGTTAAACACTGCGTCGATGTATCGCGTTTCACGGTTCAAATGACGATGTCTTCATTCTGAGAAGCCGAAGACAGGCCCAGGCTCGATCGAACGCCGGTCATCGACTCGCGCAGCGCGAGCCACCTGCTTTGCATGTAATCGCACAGCGTGACCCGGAACAACCGCGAGCTGGCGTTGTAGAGGACGAAGTTGATGGCGAAGTTGGTGTAGTATAGCAGCATGAAGTAGCGCTGCAGCACGTAAGGCAGGGAGCTCTGGCCGTCGTCTGCAAGGTCAGAGTGTCCCAGAGAGAGCAGGAACACGTAGATTCTCATGACGTAGCTCGGCAGATTGAGGAGCATGAAGACGCTGGACACGAGCAGGAGCATGCGCGTCACGCTGATTTGGGTGGCGTGGGCGATTCCCCCGCCACTGGTTGCCGCGATTGTGCCGTCCTTGGAGCCCATTGTCTCCCCATTGAGCCTACTGGGTGAATGCGCTGAGTAAGACAGGAGTAGGGTAGAATGGAATGGTAGTCGCATTTTTAGAATAAGCAACAGAGGTAGCACAATGCTGGGATGTTTTGTTTAAGCTTAAACACTTCGCTTAGATTTTGCCCAGAAGTGCGAGAAGCTTAGCCACCACCATGTGAGAGCCGGCTTTGCATTATTAATAACATCAACCGTCGTATCAGGTACCTCACCCAAGCTGCTCGATGGTTGAACCTATCTATATTTCGAAAGCTCGGTAGAGTAGCGCAGAGTTGCGGTAGTTTGAAGAGACATAAATTCATACCTCGTGTCATCCCTCATCACCTATCACGTACATACGTATAACCAAGCGATGTATCAGACTAATTAGTGAGCAGGGTTTAGCCGTGTATCTCGTAATCTATTTTCTCAGTTGTTTCACTATGCCTGTAAATACGAATCTGGTTTAGCCCATGTGTCATCATTCTCCATCTATTCCCGCGTCTCGTAGTAACTATATCAGCCTGTTATTTATCATTATCAGTTATCCATTATTGCTGTTATCAGTCTGTTATTACGTGCACTTACCGATGGAGCCATGCCGGTCTGTATAGGCGGCAGACATGACACGCTGCTTTCTGTAGCGAAGGTAGAATCGGTATATGGCACGGCAAATCATGAAATTCATGAACGCGATCAGCAGAAATGGTAGGATGAAGGTGATCACCGTGTCCAAGATGTTCAGGTAGTATAGTGAGCTGAAATTACAAGAAGAAAGGCGAAAAATTTAGGCTTCGATGAAAGCCATGAATGCTTCCTTCATAGACAGTGAGACCAATGCGAGTACAACCTCAATATTTGCAGTCTTTTACTCGAATGCAATTATTGTACTATCATTGTAAGGAGGCTTGTGGGGATGAACCTTTTCAATACAGAATGGTGACCGCGTACTCAGCAATGAATCTTAAAACAAGTTCACTTGGCTTGCACTGTGATTCAGTGATTGGGGAACCCTTTGAATCTGGTTTGTTTTCTTTCAGGGGCTGTGTCTCGCGGTTCGAAGACAAACGTAAGTTGAGCAGAGCTTATTTTTCATCCCACAGTCGAGACTTACACGCTAATAACCACGTGAAAAAGAAACATGGAATATTTTCCCGTCAAAGCACAGAGAAAAAAAAAAACCTTCCAAAGCCCTTATTTCTCATTGAACAGCCATGTACTGCTTTACAAATTTAGAAACCGATGCTTTTTGCTTCTACTTGCAAAACATTCATTATACTTTGAATACAGAAACTCTTGCAGGTCACTGCTACCTATTTATGAAACATGAAGTTCGTTCAGGCCCAACTTCATCTGAGAGTTGCGACATGTCGCAGATGAGAAAAAAAAACTGGGAGAAATGAAAACGACCGCTTCAATTTACTGGCGAATTTCTTTCCTTCTGAACAGACACAAAGATTAGCTGAGTAACGGCATGTTTATTTATATAAATTAAACCACGGCATTCTGTGCAGCACACAAATACCTTTTCACGCACGCTTACACCACACACGGTGCGCGGCACCCCCATGGCGTTTGCACCAATTAACGAATCTTAAAATGATATGGCTGTTCCCTTCGATTCCGAACACGGGCTCTTCATCATCTTGCAAGAGCCTTGAAAAGTTTTGCTCAGTTCGAACAAGCACGGATTTTTACTCTGAGAATGTAGTAATTGATTTGCGGTTGTTTATTCAAGAAAAATTGTCAGACATCTTGGAAGTGTTCCCATTTCTTCACTCGAGACCGTTAAACGTACTTAATTCCCATACTTTACGAACACTTCTTTTCGAACGTACTCAACAAACTCAATCTCGCGAACTACCACTGTTCTTAGAATTACACAACTTGCTTTGTTAGAACGTGTTTCTTTCTGCATGGGCGTGTTTAGTCCTTACTCGGTCGTAATCTCAACGTTATTTTCAACTCCTATTTCATCTTAGCCACCCCTCAATCGTTTGCAAGACTAGACTCACTAATTCATTAGCAATCTTATGGACTTCATAAATTTATAAATGAAAGCTTCACGAGTTTATCGGTTGAATTGTGCAGCTGATAATTTGTTGAACAATTGAATCGAATGAAAACTTTCAAATGAATCTAAGAAAGTTTTATTGGTGACACGTTCGTCACTTAAGAGATGCGAAATTTTACAGCAATGGCTGTCTTGTGGCTGCGGTGCAGGAAAGGAAGTACACCTAACACATAAAAAAATGAGAAAACGGCATTTCGGTTTTCATACGGAAGCCGTGTTCGCAGTTATCTAAAACTACCAGCAACGTAGCCTATCTAGGTTTCAGCCAAGCATCGCGCGGTGCAGGGGTTGTGGTGGTTGACCCTAAGTTCGTGGGATCTAATTAGGGCTGCGTTACGATATAGGCTGAGTTGCTAGAGGCCCGCGTTCTGAAATCTATGTTAACATTAAGAAACATTATATATGCAGAGCAGTCCTAATGGAGTTTTCCATAATCGGGTATTTCATAATGTTCTCAAACACATTGAAGAGCATTGCCTTTCCTACAGGTTACCCCTTTACATCTTGAAAGAGCATAAGCTCTTTCAAGATACCACCACCTTGAAAAACGTACAACTGCCTTCAAATACGTTGCCGGATTTCAATAATGAGTGCTCTTTTCGCTGTACGTGTTACGGAACTCACTGACAGGGAAGGTTTCTGACACGCTTAAAAAAGGCACCGTAAAAGTGTTGTTGGTCCTTTTGAGACAAACTTCCTAGGTGCCTCGTTAGACACGTAGTGACCATAGGCGTAATCGGCAGCGTGGGTGTTGCGAAAAATCTTAATGTGATAGCGTCACCTTGTGACGACATCATACTGTCGCAGCTAACCACACTGTACGACGTCATATTGGTGTCATAGCAACTCGAGTGATGACGTCAGTCGCGTGATATCATCACTTGGTTTCTCCCTACCTCCGATCCCGGAGCTGATCCCGGAGGCAAAACTAAGCTAAGCGCAGGAGCCTTCGAGCACAGAAAACTGTGTCACCACAACTGACTGAGAAAAAGAAAGAAATAGAGCTTTCGCCTTCGAGTGATCCTAGGTCAATGCATAACAGACACTGTGAGTTTCTCGTTCGAGAGAACCCTCGGTGTACGAAAGTGACGCCATCAAGGTCAAGCTCACCTCTCGTACTCGGGTTGAAGGCCACAGTCGGAGTGCTCGCTGTCGCCGGCACTCACGAACAGCAGCAAAGGAGCGTTGAGCGCCAAGCTGAGAAACGCACTGGCGCCAATGACGAGACGTGGTCTCCGGCTTGGAGAGCTGGCCTGCAGCTTCCAGAGGGGGTAGCGCACTGCTACAAACCTCTCCGCCGTGAAGCTCACCGTCAACCACACGGACCAGCAGGAGAAGACGGACGTCAGAAATACGCTGACGAAGCAGAGCCCGTGCTGAGGAACCTGCGCCGAAACGGACAGTTTATGTGGTGCCCGTTGGACAGTTTATGTGGTGCCCGTGCTCAGTGTAACATCGATGTTCTGTGTCCTTTGGTTCTGCTCACGTTCTTCAACACGACAGTGGAGCCAGGCGGTTTGAGAAGTGGCTCATCTCCCTGTCCCTCCATTTTTCTTTTTCTCCTCCCTTAGTGAAGCAGCCTTTTTACGACTGGTACTTGTTTGGCATTTTAGAAAGAAATACACTTCCTTAGTGCGCAGATATCTCTCTGCTGTATCTTCCTTCTACATCGTTCCCTGCGAACTAAGGAAGTACATTCATTTCACAAATGCAATACCAACCAGCCCAAGTAGCCGCTCGTTTGCAATAATTGTTTGGCAATAATCTATAAAGCGATCACCCTATAAGCCACTGTTGCTGAAAGAGTGCTTAAAATTCAAGATATTTGCTGTTGCAAGTATATAGCCTCGGGCAAATTTTCAATATTTCCATGTTATTATTTACAAACCCAGCGTTCCTAAGAACCGCACGGACAATTCTTGTCCGCGTGTGACTCCATAAACAGACTTTTGTGTCTATTTTATGTGCTATTCAATAGATAATAACCTCGAAATTGTCATATGTAGAAAACTTGGCGTTTGCACTTTGTTACGTCACAGATTTGCGAAGAGCAGCGCGTCATTTTTCAGTACATGACAAACAAATAATGCTTAAGCCACAAGTTTATAAAGTTTTGAAAGAGTTTAGGCATCGGAAGAGTAGAGGGGCGTATGAAATTACCCAATGTTACTATAGGAAATGCATAAAAGAACGCCATTGTACTAGATGTAAATATTCGGTGAATCTTCTTGCCTTTCTCTTAGTGTTATCTCTCACGCTGTTGTATTAGCTTTTTTTGACAATCTCATCTTTTTGGTAGAGGCCGTGACCACTTCTGACATTTCCAGGTCACGAAGTTTTTAAATTAAAAACAAAAATTGCGCCTCTTTAACTGACCTAATGGCGTGAGGATTCGTTAAAAAGTGGTGGTGGTGATGGTCCTCAAGACGATATAAAAAGGCACTGATCTCTTGCAGGGCACAATGGATCACGATTGAGTGTCATAACAGTAAAACTGGTTGCATCAGCGCAGCTTCGTTCCGCTTTCATGAATGTTTGGCTCACCCTTTCTCCTCTCTAGTTAGCGCCGCTCGGCCAAAAGTGAATGCTGCTATCGGTACATTGCTTAACAGCACAGTCCACCGCGTCTCAGCTTTTTTTTTTGTATGCGTACCACTTGAACCACTAGTAAAACAATTCGGCTTTGTTCTCCCCCTTTCTACCAGCCTCGCCATCTCCATGTCATTTATACTCTTTCTCCACTCCTCCTACCAACTCAGGTTTAACCATCTCGTTCTCTTCACAGTCGCAGCTCAGCTGGGAAGTGCGGACGACAGGTGTCTAGGAATTTATACCTCGGCTTCGAAGAACTCTACTATTAAAGCCAGTACTAGAGTCTCACTCACACTGATGCCTTGTTCGTTGAGCCAGGCGAACGAAAGTATGATGAGAAAGCCCGAATCCGACACCGCCAATGCTCCCATGTACAGGCTGGACGGGCGACTCCTAAGCTTGGTGAAGAGGAAGGTGATGAGAGAAAGGACGTTTCCCACGAGCCCCAGGTAGATAACGGCCGGCATGTAGACCACGTTGAGGAAGTCTAGCACCTGTATGGCCACCGACGGAGGACTAGGGGACACATCGCTGACGCGCTCACGCCTCAAAGACATTCTTCGACTCACACCGTCTAGTGTCGAGGGCTCGGCAAAATCTGCAGTCACGTTGCAGACGGCCGTCGCCACTGTGGCAGCGATGCTGCCAACGCTGTCGACGTCGACGACTCCCAGGTCGACCTGTCCAAAAGCCATTGACAAGTTGGCCGACATCTAGGGTCTGGATCCACACATGCGCAATGTTGAGGAAAAGACGTGAGTGAGCTTCGTCGATAATGCATTACCATGCATTGTTGTACTCAGTTGAACACATCAGTTAGATTATTATGGAAGCTTTTCATAGTAGACGACAAATTTGTAGGCAGGGATTATGTGCTTGAGGCCAGGTTCACTTGTCCTTTTCGACAGTATATCTCCGGCTACAACCGTTCAAAGCTAGACCTGTTGTAGCCTTGAGGAACTGAAGTGCACTTGTCCGAATGTCGGCTTGAGCCCACGAACCCTGTTTACAAATTTTTTTTCCGCGCAAGCTTTTATCTCCCTCTTCCGGCCATTTTTTTAATTTTTTTGTAGTAAATGTGTTCGTGCCAAAAAAAAAAAGTTCAGCCATGTCGTCAACTGCAGCTTAAACGCTTCTTTCGTTTTCGCACTGAATAATAAAAGATGCTAGATGCTTCAGTCATAAACAAGCACCGTTATTTATACTGTTGTCAAAATCTTGTTCTGGATCACTTATGACGTCTTTTTTTTTTTTATATGGGCCTCCAAGATACCCGGCCACCATACCCTATCGCAGTTGCCACGCCACAATTCGTATTTTATTTGGAGCCTCTCGCAACGATTTCAGCCTTGTCAGGCTTTGAACTGGCAACTAGCATTTAAAACGATATCCAAGTGCAAGGCACGCACATCGATATATTACACAGATTTAGTTGGGCATCCGCAGCAACTTGGCGAACATAGCCCGCCAGTCATTCCTAATGCCAGGCTGCATCCTAAAGTCTGTTGCGGATGCTCAACTAAATCAGCCGATCAAGTCGACCGCAGTTCTTGCATAGCTACGACAGTGCTGCATTTGACGTATAAAACAGAGTACAGAGCACCACAATTTCCGGAACTTTCTCTGACTCTCAGCGCCTTTCTATACTACTAAGGAAATCTTCAGAGTGAAAGAACACACGTACCAAAACGTCAGGTGGCACACTGCGATGTACTCTTGTAGACGCAAAACTGTAGAGCACGTATGAGCAATTCTATAGCATTTTGTGTATTGGTACAGCACTGCACTAGCATAAAAGTTGAACACTTCTGAAAATATCACGGCTTAGCATCACATACGTTGAATGTGGTCACCTACATAATGTTTAGCCTTTCGCAACGCTCACGATGGGTATGCACCTTCTTGATTAATATTTCTCAGGAATCGTCCATAAAAAATAACGAAACGTGCCTCCTGAATGATGGATCTTAGACATGTACGTTCCCCAGATATGTAAACCCGAAAATGTATTCCCAGGGTAAAGGCCTGGCTAGGAGACGTACGAGTCTCCTCGTGCCTTACCTCGTGGACATATTTCACACTGTGGATTTCCTATATATGTCTGAAATGAACAAAATGAAATTGAAATTGTAAGTGAGAATGCACTTGTCAGAGAACTCACGAAAGCTCCACATATTTAAGAAGAAAGTGATTTTTGAGTGACACGTCTGCTGTGCGATGCAGCAAGAAAAAAAAAAAAACGTCAAAGCTTTGCTGCAAAGGCGAGCCAATTAACGTGACAGCCACAAATTGGAAGGTCGCGCGCAGAACGGCAAGCAGATTGAAACGCGGCCCGCGTTTCTCACGCACAAATGACGCACGAAACGTACTCGCAGGCACAGATGAACGCCAACAAGCGTCTGAGTTGTTACTTCGCTGTGTCTGGAAAGCGCGCCCTTTTCGCAAACGGAGTCTGTGCAACGATTGGATTGGATTGGATAAACTTTTATTTGGTCCTCCAAAACACAGATCACTGTGTTGCGGGCAGCTCCCACGTGGGGACTGAGATGCCAAGCTCCTCAGCCGCCTCGCGGGCTTGGTGGACAGCCCAGAGCTGATCTACCAAGGATGAGCTGCGGATTGCCGCCTCCCATCTGGCAGAGGTGATGTGCGATAAATGAGCGAATTTGGTGCACTGCCAGAGCATGTGTTCTAATGAAGCTATTTCCCCACAATGTGGACAAAGATTACTTGGATATAGGTCAGGGTACATGATGTGTAACATTTTCAAAGTAGGGTACATCCGCGTTTGCAAAAGCCTTAATGTAAGTGCTTGGGGCCGGGTTAGATTTTTGTGAGGTGGAGGAAAAATCCTTCTAGACAGGTAGAAATGTTTAGTGAGCTCGTTATATGTTGTAAGAATTTCCCGGTTATCCCCTTCACCGCTAGAACGCATCCCCGGGGAGGCGCGGTTGGAGAGTTCTCGCGCCGCCTCGTGTGCTGCTTCGTTGAGATTGGGAGGGGAATCGTTGATTTGTCCAAGGTGAGCTGGGAACCAACTCAGAAGATGATGTGTTATGTTCTTGCCTTGCAGTATTTTTAGCGTTTGTTCACAGACCGTCCCCTTGGCGAACGCCCGTAGTGCTGCCATGGAATCACTGTAGACCACTTCAATGTTATCCATCTTGAGTGCTAAGGCGATGGCCACTTGTTCCGCAATGATTGGGTCTTTCGTCCTGACCGTCGCTGAGTTGACGACATGGCCAGCCCCATCGACTACCACTGCCACAAACGCTTTCCCATTGGCGTAGGAAGCCGCGTCAACAAATACGACCCCTCGTTCCTCGTTTGAGACTTGACGAAGTATAGTCCTGGCCCTCGCTACTCTTCTTCCGACGTTGTGTTCTGGATGCATGTTTCTCGGTATAGGAGATACCGTGATAGTCTCCCTGATGTTGTCAGGGATATCATTGTAATTGCGTCTGATTGCTATTGGGTTTTGGCCCAGCTCCTGCAGGATCATTCTCCCCGACCTTGTAGTAGATAACCTTGCAAACTGTGCTCTCTCTTGGGCTTCTGCTATTTCTTCGAGCGTGTTGTGTATGCCAAGCTCAAGCAGACGCTCGGTGCTGGTATGTATGGGTAGGCCCAGGACCTTCTTGATAACTTTCCTGAGGAGCACATTCAGTGTCTCGGACTCTGCTCTTGACCAGTTGTGCATTGCTGCCTCGTATGTGAAGTGACTTAGAACAAACGCATGCATCAACCTGATGAGGTTGTCTTCCTTGATCCCATTTCTTTTGTTGGCCACTCTGCGTATGAGGTGCACCGCACTGTCTGTTTTCCGAGTTAACTTGGCTATAGATTTGCTGTTGGCGCCGGTAGACTCTATCAGCATTCCCAGGACTTTGATGGAGTCGACCCTCTGGATGGCATCCCCTTGATTTGTACGGAGGTGGATGTCTATCTGGTTTAACGGCTTCCATCCCCTGGGCTTTGGTCCCCGGCGTGCAGTCCGATAAAGCAAAAGTTCTGACTTACTCGAGGAGCACTTGAGCCCGGAAGGGCGAAGGTAGTCTTCTACGGTGTCAATCGCCTCTTGCAGAGCGCTCTCAATCTGCCCCTCGCTTCCACCTGTGCACCAGATGGTAATGTCATCTGCGTAGATGCTGTGCTTCAATCCTTCAATGCTCGATAATTTCTTTGACAGTCCAATCATGGCAATGTTAAACAGCATTGGTGAAATCACTGCCCCTTGTGGCGTGCCCCTTGCTTCTAGTTCGATTTCTGCGGTCTCGATATCTGCAATCTTCATCACGGCTTTCCGATCTGTAAGAAAGGACCATACGTAGTCATAGAAGGCTTTCCCTAGACCAAGCTTGGAAATCGCTTCGAGTATGAATGAGTGGTGGATGTTGTCAAACGCTTTTTCTAGATCTAGGCACAGAATGGCTCTCACGTCTCTGGTTTCATTGTCAATGACCTGGTGTTTGATAAGCTTCAATGCATCTTGTGTGGATAGCCCTGCCCTGAATCACACCATATTGTGTGTATATATGTTGTTATCTTCCAAGTACTTGTTTATCCTGTGCAGTATGGCATGTTCTGCGACCTTGCCGATACATGATGTCAAGGATATTGGCCTCATGTTGTCCAAGTTAGGGGGCTTTCCTGGCTTAGGAATAAGGATCGTGCTGGCCAGCTTCCACTGCTCTGGCACCCTGCTTTCTTTCCATGCTGAATTGATCATATCCCTCAGGGTTTCAATTGAATCGTCATCAAGGTTACGCAGGGCCTTGTTTGATATACCGTCCGGACCAGGGGCCGACCTGCCGTTGAGATCATGCAAGGCTCTTCTGATCTCCTCGATGTTAAAGTCGCCCTCAAGACCTGGATTTGGCGTGCCCTGGTACTGTCTACTTGGTGGTGCCAATCCTCTTTTGATTGGGAGGTACTTATGCACGAGCTGCTGGACAACTTGCTGTTCTGTAGTGCGCCCTATCTCTTTATGCAAAATTCGAGCGATGACATGCTTTTGATTTGTTTTGGTGGTGTTTTCGTTGAGGAGATGCTTTAACATATTCCATGTCTTGCCATTGCGCATCTGACCATCGACGGAGTTGCAGATTTCGTCCCATTGCTGCCTCGATAGTGCGCGACAATGTTCCTCGACTGATCTGTTTACCTCAGCTATCTTCTTCCTCAGTCTTCGGTTCAGGCGCTGACCCTTCCAACGGTTCAGTAGTGCTTGCTTTGCCTCAAGAAGATGAGCAAGCCGGCTATCCATTCTTTCAACCGGAAGATCTGTGGTAATGGTGGAGGAGACGGATTTGATGTCATCTTTAATCTGTTTGACCCACTGCTCCAAGCCTTGTCTGTGGCCATCTTGTTCCCTTTCCATCCTTATCTTCCTGAACTTATCCCAGTCTGTGAAGTGGAATTCTCTCTGCTTTTACGCTCCACGGAGAAGGTAGTGGCAAGAATGCAGTGGTCACTCCCTAGGTCTACAGCAAGGTTCGTCCACTGGGCCTTCTTGATGTTCCTTACAAATGTAAGGTCCGGGGTGGAATCCCTGCAGCAAGATGTACCAAGCCTTGTTGGTAGGCTGGGGTCTGTGATTAGGGTGAGATCAAGTTCACTGGCACTTTGCCAAAGTCGATTTCCTTTCCCAGTGTTGTACTTGTAACCCCATGTATGATGAGGGGCGTTGAAATCACCTGCTATGACGAGTGGA